GAGTGAAAGTTTCAAGGAGCCAAAGGGACAGCTAGCAATAGGAATTGTGACTCTGTGGCCCAATGAGGTGGGCAGTGCCTTAGAGACAGGGAGCCTCGGATTTTAGTCTTTGCCCCCCGTTGCTAGTTAAACATTTTATCTGATGACTATGTAATGTAAAATATATAAACAGTCCAGGGAGCAAACAAGAGGTAGTGTGATTCTGCAGCACATTGCTTCAGGAACTCAGGGGAGGGTCCTAAGTTTTAGTCTCTGCTGCCAGGATTGTTTAGGCATTTTTGCATAGAATTCTAGCATTGGAAGGAAGGGGAGGGTATTTCTACATTGCTCTTTAGGAGCAACCTTCAGGGTTGCCATCAACTAGCTTAAGCCACGTAAGCTGCCCTCCCTGCCTAATATTAGCTTGCTGAGTTTGCATGCCAAACCCAGAAGGAGAGACAAGTTATGGCCAAACTGATCTGTAGAAGGCCTCCACTTGAGGATCAGGAAGCTTCTTGTTTTTAACTTGGCTCTAATTATGAGGCAATAGAGGAGCTGGAAAAAAACAGGGCTTGAAGTCAGGTATAGACACAGGTCAGTGGGACTGATGATGGCAGTTTTCCTGTGTTTGCAGTCTCTTGCACCTGGGTGATGGCTGAACATATGGCAACAAGAGGCAGATGAGGAGCGGACTTAATGTCAGGTCCTGGAATTCAGGACAGCTTCCAGGGTTAGGATAACCACTAGACTGCCATGGCAGGGTAACTTTAGGGTTGTTTATAATGTAGACCGTCATGAGCAGATTTAGGCTAGAGGGTGGGCTACATAGACCAGTGATTCTCACCCAGGGAGCCATGGCCCTCTGGAGTGCCTTGAGATCCTTTCAGGAGTGCTGTGAGGTGCCACACAATGTTAGCACTGGTAGATATGCAAATATGATTCATAAAATAAGCCTAGAGATTTCAAATAGGAATCCATAGTATTAAAACATTCTGTCCCATTGTGGTCTTTCTGAGTTCTTTGCAACAGAAAAATGTCTCTATTATTTTTCTATCGTCAAAAGCAAGTGAAAAGTAAAAGCTAGCATTTTCTGAGGGGTGTTTTGAGTCTAACAAAGGGTGTCTTCATAGAGGAAGATCATCGAGTCCAGCCCCCCGCCCAAAGGGCAGGAAGTCAGCTGGGGTCATAGGATCCCAGCAAGATAAGCATCCAGTTTCATCTTGAAGGTGTTCAATGAAGGCGCTTGAACCACCTCCGGTGGCAGGCTGTTCCAGACCTTGGGGGCTCGGACAGTAAAGAAGTTCTTCCTTATGTCCAGCCTGAAACGATCTTGAAGTAGTTTGTGACCATTCGACCTCGTCATCCCTTGGGGTGCTCTGGTGAACAAACGTTCCCCCAGATGCTGGTGGTCACCCCTGATAAACTTGTAGGTGGCCATCAGATCACCCCTGAGCCTGCGCTTTTTCAGGCTAAAGAGCCCCAGGGCTCTCAGCCTGTCATCGTAGGGTCTGCTTCCCTGACCTCTGATCATGCGCGTGGCTCTTCTCTGGACTCTCTCAAGCTTCTCCACATCCTTTTTGAATTGTGGAGTCCAAAACTGGACGCAGTACTCCAGCTGCGGCCTCACTAAGGCCGAGTACAAGGGGAGAATGACGTCCCGGGATTTGCTTGAGAAGCATCTATGGATGCAAGCCAGCGTTTTGGTCGCTTTACTAGCCACAGCATCACACTGCAGGCTCATGTTCATCTTGTGGCCAATGATGACCCCCAAGTCTTTCTTCCATAGTGCTAGCCAACATAGCACTGCCGAGCCTATAAGGATGCTGCGGGTTTTTCTTCCCAAGGTGGAGAACCTTGCATTTATCGGCGTTGAACACCATCAGATTCTCGTCCGCCCGCTCGCTGAGCCTGTCCAGGTCAGCCTGGATCACCCGCCTGTCTTCCGGTGTGGATTCTTTGCCCCAGAGTAAACACTGTTGTAGATACATCCTTGCGGCTTGCATGAGAATATCAAAATCTAAAGCCTAACTCTCCTTTCTTGCCACATGTCCTGGACTGAAATCTCTTTCTATTTTATAGAAACTTATTCTGATATAAACTATTTTAGTGATGACATGGCTAGCTATATCAGTTATAAATCTTGTGCCTTACTATTTTTCTGTGGGTACCCATTGATAACACTGCAAATACAGAACCATGAGAGGAAAAATTTGATATTCTGGCTTTAAAAATTATTTCCACATGGTTTGAAATTTGTCACCCAAGATATGTTGGTGGGTTTCCACTCAGATAAATCCTTCCACTTCTTAAATGATCCATGTTAACACCACAGGTGTGACTGTAGAGTTCAGGCTTTCCAGGCAATTGTCTAATTTTGATAAGTACCTAGCAGAAGTGTAGTGGATAGGGAGTAGTGTTAAATGCACTACTCTCTAATACATGCTGTTCACCAAGACCCTGTTTATTCTCTCCCTGATATTTGATGGAAAGAATAATGGACCATTTAAACATTGCTATTGAAACATCTAGTGCTTGCTTTAGATAATTATTTCTCCAAACTACTATGATCTGTTCTATTTTTTCCTTTTGCATTTTTATTTATTTTGTTGTATAAAATTGAAAACTATAGACCTTGCTACAAAACACTGAATCCAAGACTGATAAATGACTGGTGTTGTGTGGAAAATAAAACAGGTCATTATAAACTAATCAGGGTTTGTGCCTTTAACTGCCTGCTTATCATGGAGGGATTGCTGGAGATGACAGGTTCACACTTAATTCTGCATTAATTCCTGCGTCCTATTAAGATGAAAGTTGTGGTTAATTTAAACTATCTTTTGGTGAAGGAGGTTACTGTGATGGCTGATCGTAAAATGCCTTTTTTAAAATATCTGAAATGCTAATTGCTTCATAAAATGAATTCTAATCTCCCGATCTAATACAGTGGGTGTGAGCAATTACTTTCACTCACCAAACTGTTAATGCAACATTAGTGATTATACTAATTAAAACTAATGAACTCATACTCACATGCTGATAAACCTCTCAGACACTCAACAAATTCCAACCTTCTATCAGTTTTATTTAACTTCCCTTTTGGAAGATGGATCTTAAATTAACCTCTGGAATAACATTTAAAATTAGGTTTTGAAATGTGAAGCTTTATAGACTGTATATAATTCCTCTCCAAAGATTACCAGAGTCAGAGAAACCATTTCCATTGAGGATGTAATTGAATTTAAAAATGCATTCTCCTAATTTGATAAGCTACACTAGCATGGAGTGTAATCGTAGCTCATCCATCTGAATCGTAGTCAAGGTAAAAAAAGACATGTCTCTGCAAATATCATACTATGACAATCACTCTTTAATAGCTAAGGAGCTGGGCAAATTATTTTAATGAATAATTATTCAGTGAATTTCACCTCTTCTAGTTGTGAAATTTCTGTGAACAAATCA